ANGAACAACTCAAATCTTGTTCTACAATAGGCCCTTCTTAGAAAATGCATCAAATTAATTGACAGGTATTTTTCAGTTTGGAAAGTGAAATATTTAGAAGCTACATTTGAAAAACAGCTTGGATTAAAAATGGATAAGATTTTAGGGTAGACTTTTTAGAGAAAAAACAGAAAATAGGGATTTTTAGAGAAAGAAGCAAAAAAAAAAAAAACCAAAAAAAACACCCCCAAACCCAGGGATTTGGAGCTAGAGAGAGGGCTGGACAATTTGCTTACACTGGAACTCAAGGAATTCCAGAGAAGGAATTTTGTTTGTAGTTCAGAGCTATTCTGTAAGATTCCTGCTGAAAAAGGAGGAGGAGGAGCAAATTTTATTGTCAATTGACCATATCAAATATATAATACTGATATAAAAATGGAAATAGATACAAAGAAAACAAAATTCACAATAAATTGTCACACCTGAAAATGACATTGCAAAACTTTATCCCTCATTTTTTTCTCAATCTGATCTAGGTATTCTTTCCTCTTTGAGATGGCCTTTGAAATGAAGTCTTACTAACGATATGAAGGTTCATTTCCTGCAATAAGTAAGACTGTTTCTTCCGACTGTCCCATTTTTTTTTTAATGTATAAGAGTTGAAGTAAGCAGCCCTTTCTGGAAAGTACAATTGAGGGATGTTTTGGTTCATTTCTTGAGGAAAAAAAGTGAGGGATAAAGTTTTGCAATGTCATTTTGAGGCAAGAATGAAGATTGATAATGTTGACATAATTGTTTTAAAGGAGGTTCCCATTAGGATCTTCATAAGAGGAAAGACTCCTTCTTCTTAACAGACATTTTGAAACAGAAAAAGGTTCCATTTCACTTGGATAAGCAGGAAGGACTGATTTTAATTTTCAACAACAAAGATATAGATTGAATACTGTTCAAAAAGCTACATTAGGAATTAGATGAGAAGATTATGTGCTTAAAAATGAAACTTTTTAATAGAGAGCTTTTGCTGATTGTTTGGTTTTGATCATACAAGACCCCTGAAAGTTATTGAAGTTTTGATGGAAAAAATGAAACATTTTGATGTGTTAGCGGGTTTTAAGATTAATAAACAGAAAACAAAGATGCTGGTTAAAATATGATTACATAGGATCAAGATGTTTTGATGAAGAAATCTGGTTTTAAAGTTGAGAAAAGGGTTAAATATTGGGGGTTTACCTGGACTAATATGAAGCATATGTTGTTTCGAAATAACAATGCTAAAGTATGGAATGAATTTAAAAAAGATATTGAGATGGGAGAAGTTACAATTTTCATTGTTGGGAAGAATTTCTGTGATTAAAATGAATGTTTTACCTAGAACGTTATTTCTATTTCAGATACCCATATTGACAATTTATTTATTTTATTTATTTTATTTTTCATAATTTATATGCCGCCCTTCTCCCCACGGGACTCAGGGCGGCTCACAGCATTTTAAAATAACACAACACAAACAACACAACACAACATTTCCCCTATAAAAGCCAATTAAAACCAAATATTTATAGTCTGTGACATTATTAAAATCATTAAAAATTATCCCTATTTAAAATTCACCCTNAGGGAGCCCCATGTATAGAGCATTACAGTAGTCCAGGCGGGAGGTGACGAGGGCCTGAGTGACTGTGCGCAGAGCATCCCGGTCCAGAAAAGGGCGCAACTGGTAAATCAGGCGAACCTGATAAAATGCCCCCCTGGTCACGGCCGACAAATGATCTTCCAGTGTCAGCCGCGGATCCAGGAGGACACCCAAGTTGCGTTGATGTTCCATTTAAGTAATTGCAAAAAGATATTTATAAATTTGTTTCATAGGATAAGAAACTGAGAATCAAATTCTTGCAGAATGCTAAAGGAAGAGGGGGGTTAAGAATACTAAATGTGAAATTGTATTTTGCAGCTTGTTGTTTGGTTTGGATAAAAGAAAATAAAAAGTAGGAGGTTATTGGAATAAAAGGACAAGATTTAAGATTGGATGGCATGGCTATTTGTGGTATGACAAAGTTAAAGTGAATATAACATAGATTTCAAAAATCATTTTATCAGACATGCCATACAGAAAATTTGAAATAGATATAAAGTAAAATTATCATCTAAATCCCTTTATGGTTGTCACTACAAGAACCTTTTTTAAAAGAAAAATGATAGTTAAACAAAAATGGTTAACTTATTGCTGACTTGCTGAATGGTCTGCCCTGGTCTCACTGCAGCTTCCTGCACCTGCTCTGTCAATCACAGGCCCAGGACATAACACCTACAATGGAAGAATTTGTGGTAAGCAGGTGGAACTGGCCTTGATAGTGAAATTGACAACCTTGATGAAAGAAATGACTTGGGCATATTTTATTTTTTACTTGGAAACAGTTTTAGAAGAACTAAATTACATGAAAAGCTGATTTTGGGATTTGATTATTAGTATTACATGGGATTATCAAAATAATGTAGGTATATGGTAGCTTCAGAGTTAAGAGTTGAATGTATTCTTATATCTATATCTATACCAGGGGTAGGCAACCTTGGCTCTTTTATGACTTTTATGACTCAGGAATTCTGGGAGTTGAAGTCCACGAGTCATAAAAGAGCCAAGGTTGCCTACCCCTGATCTATACCAAGAAAGTGGCATATAATTCTTTGCCGCTTTTTGTTACTTTTGTCCTTTTTTTCTTTTGCACTTATACTTTTATTATTTTCTGAATCATTTTCATTTTTTTTAAAAAAATCTGTCTGTCTACCTACCTACCTACCTACCTACCTATAAGGCACTGATGAAAAAATAGGAAGTCACCTGTAGTGGGAAGTGGTACCCTTTCTAAGTTGGTCAGTTAGCTGCATAAAGATCTTGCAGCCACAACATCTTGATGAATGAAGAATGTAATGTATCGGTTGGAAAGTCCCCATATGATTATGTCAAGAAGAAATAAATAACAGGGAGGAAAATTTAGTATTATTACTTCTCTTGTGTAGTTAGTATTAATCACTGGTATAGTGAATTACCAGAAGAGATGTAGGTGGTGATATTTTCTGAACGATGGCAATAAGAGGAAATAATTTGAGGCTGAGTCACATAAATGCTTGCTCCAGTTCTAGTTCAGGCAGTTGACCCTTTCCAGAAGACAGGAATGCACGTATCCTCTCCTCTCCCCTTCCTTTTCCTGCCCTGCCCTGCCCCTTCTTGGTGAATGCCTGAACTAGTCCCTACACTTTCTTGGCAAGATTTTCAGAAGTATTTTGCCACAACCTTCCTAGATCACCATAGTATTATTATAATTTTTTTCCCACCAACAGCCTTCATAGATGTAATGTTCCATAAATGCTGATATCAATTGAAAGTTGCTCCAACCTGAACATTCTGTAAATTGCCTCTCCATTCAGGAATCTCCTGGAACTTTCTCTCCCAGGCCCCCCCTCCCCCCCCAATTTTTGGCATTTTCTGGGAACAAACACCAAAGTGTGCAAGCACATACTTCCTCTTTTGCTTACCTTCTTGGACATTGCAGCAGAGAGGATTAGATCAGGAAGCTTAGAGGCAGAGCCCCAAATGCCTCTGCTTGCTATCTTTCAGGACAGTGCAGTACAAAGAGAAAGCAGTCACCTCATCCAGGCACCCAAAGTCTGAGTTTGTATAGCACACCAGGTCTAGCACACCAGGTCTAAAAATAACCAAGTGCGTTGTGTCATGTGAACACAGCCTGAGGATAAACCTAAATTGGCAATGGTCTGTTGAAGGGGATAGGAATGGATGAAGAGCGAGGTGATTAGATGTCGCTTTCATATTACGTGGCTGTGTGAAAAGGCGCTTGCGTTTTCTTCCCAGTTGCCCCAACCTTGGAACCTGCAGAATAAGGCAGGGGTAGTCAACCTTGGCTCTTTTATGACTCGTGGACTTCAACTCCCAGAATTCCTGAGCCAGCTATGGGCAGGGGTAGTCAACCTTGGCTCTTTTATGACGCGTGGGCTTCAACTCCCAGAATTCCTGAGCCAGAATTCCTGAGCTATGCTGGCTCAGGAATTCTGGGAGTTGAAGTCCACGAGTCATAAAAGAGCCAAGGTTGACTACCCCTGGAATAAGGGGAGTAAGAAAGAAAAATGAGGTAGGGGCCACCTCTGCCTTATTTGGCATACACCGTTCCATATCTCTTCCACCCACCCCCCCATACACACACACCATCGCCACCAGGAGTGGCAAACCTCAGCCTGATAAATGGAGGGCAACGGGATGAATCTCCGGGCCTCCTGGCAGGGGTCGCCTCCTGCCCTTTTCCAGCCCCGGCTAAAAGAGCAAGGAAAAAAAAAAAGGCGGGGAGACGGCTGTTCACTCTCAGGTTACCCCCCCCCCCACTCCTCCTCCCACCCCTCTTCAACCCAGAGCCGATATTCTTTCAAAATAAAAGCGGGCGGGCGAATCTTTCTTCTCCGTTCGCCTCGTTTGAGCCTCGCTTGGGCAGCCGAACGGCCCCAACCGCAGGGGAGCCAGCCGGGGGCTTCTGCCCGCCGCTCGCCTGGAGCTGCGCGCCGAGCGGCTCAAGCAGCCGAGCGGGCGGGGCGGAGGGCCTGCGAGGCGGCGGCGGCGGCCGGGAGGGCGCAAGCAGCGCCGGGCGCAAGCAGCGGCGAGTTGCAACAGCAGCATCTTCCAGAGGAGATACAATTGGCAACCGCGAGCTGCCTTCTCGGTTCGCTGGGGTCGGGAATCGGTGGCGGTGGAATTTTCAGCAAGGTGATGGACTGGCTGGTTCTCTGCCCTTTATTATTATTACTATTATTACTATTATTACTATTATTATTATTATTATTATTATTATTATTATTATTATTATTATTATTTATTATTATTTATTATTTATTATTATTTATTATTATTATTATTTCTTGGAGATAACTATTCTCCCCTTGAGAGAGGGGGGGTGGAAACCCCCAACTCTTCTGTCGGAGGAGAGACTCCTCGGAAGGGAATAATGCTTCGCCGTCTCCCGCCCCCCCCCCCCGTTTGCTTGGCTTTCTCTAGGCTAGCAGCGCGCCTTCCCCCCCACCCAGCCACCCACCCCCGACCCCCTCGCCTGCCCCCAACTCGCTTGGTTTGGGGGAGGGCCTCTGGCGGCGCCTAGGTTTTTGGGATAACCCCCCTCTTTTCGTTTCTCTCTGCCCCAGATGTTCAAGGTAGCCGCTTTGGCGTGCGTGTGGGCAGCCGCTTGGTGCAATCAAGCCGCGGCGGCGGTACCGATAGCTGCAGCGGCGACGGCAGCAGCCGGCGGCAGGTCAGACAGCGGGAATTTCCTGGACGATAAGCAATGGCTTACCACTATCTCCCAGTACGACAAGGAGGTCGGACAGTGGAACAAATTCCGAGACGTAAGTGTGAGCCGAGCTCGCCCTCCTGGCGCGTTTCCTGGGCGCTTTCTCCTGCTTTTGCCCTCCGGCCCCAAGGCTGCTTCCCTGGGTCCGGGCTTGCAGGCGCGATCGTCTTCCCGCCGGGCAGTTTTCCGGCTTCGAGCGGGGCTTCCCCCCCCCCCCCCCACCTTCGTCAATTCCTTCTGCGTTGCAGGCTGAGTTTATTTTTAGGACTGAAATTAGTCCTCAGGCGCCCGACCAACTTTTTTTTTTTTTCCAATTGGGGAGGCAAGCAGGGTTTGGCGGATTAAAAAAAGGAGGAGGGGGGGCAAAAGTTGGTCTTCTTTTGTATTTGTTTTACCTCGCCCTGAGTTCAAAAGCGCATCGTTTCCCCCACTCCCCCCCTTCCCATCTTTCTCTCGGTAATGGTATCGAGGAGGCGGGCATCGATCCTATGGCTTAATGGAACCTTTAAAGGAAAAAAAGGGGATGAAAAGAGAACAATGCTACTTTGGAGGAGTTCGGTGTCCATGAATGAATAAAACCCTTGATTGATGGCGGTGTGTTAAATAGCACTGAGGAAAGGGGGGGGCGGGGAGGGGAGGAAGGAGAGTAGTATTTACTATCTCTTTGCCTGCTTGTGAGAAACCGTGCTGTATAATAAAAGGCATATATGCATTTCTGAGGTCCAGGGAATGGAAACGATGCTGCAAAGCTTAACCTATGCTCTTTTGGTGAGATGTCTTTCTGCAAAGTGTGGGGATGGGGTGGGGTGGGGGGATGAAAAAAGAGTATTCAGCATCTCCATGCTACAAAAACATGACCACCAAGCAAAAAAATAGGCCATTCGTACAGTTTTCAGGGTGGGAAAAAAAGGAGGGTTTTTTTCCCTTCATTGGTCTAGGACAGTGGTTCTCAACCTTTTTAATGCCGCGACACCCAACCGGTTGTACGTCGAGGACTAAACCGGTCGTAAGTCGAGGACTAAACCGGTCGTAAGTCGAGGACTACCCAACCGGTCGTAAGTCGAGGACTTTCCCTGCCCGGGAGCGCCGCGCATGCGTGGTTCCGCCCCCTGCGCCGGCCAAGGCGTAGCTGGCAAGCAGCAGAGACGGAGCAGGCCGACCACCAGCTGGCCCAGCTCAAGGGAGGTAAGGCACCCGCTGGAAAAGGGGAAAAAAATAGCGGACAGCCTTGCTTGGCGACCCCTGTGAAATGGTCGATCGACCCCAAATGGGGTCGCGACCCATAGGTTGAGAACCGCTGGTCTAGGACAGGGGCAAGGGAACCTTGGCTCTTTTGTGACTTGTGGACTTCAATACCCAGAATTCCTGAACCAGCCATGCTGACTCAAGAATTCTGGGAGTTGAAATCCACAAGTTACAAAAGAGCCAAGGTTCCCTACCCCTGGTCTAGGAAGAGTGGATAGAAGAATACTTCAATCCCTTTTGATGGAAATGAGTTAAGGTTTTTGAGACTGCCCGTTTGTCATATTCCATCATGATATATATAATAATTGGTAACCGACAGTTTTCTACTGCCACAGGACTACGTGTGTTTAAATGTGGGTTGTAGTGTTCAGCCTCATGGAAAAAAGTAAGTCAAGTTGAAAGCTGCACCATGCATGCAGGCAACAGGGTTACAGCTGATGCTGAGCAGTCACTGTATCTTTTCTTTCCCATATCTTATTTGGCCTGTTTGTCAGGGTCAAAGCCAAGAAGTTCAGTCAGTGTGTAAAATGCTTCTCAATGAATGACAGAATTCAGATGGGATATAAAACTGTTGTGAATTGGAAAGCATCGTAAGCATGCATTTTCTATCTGCTTGCTTCATCTTTTTTTAATCAGGCATATTAAGTACACTGCATTGTATATTTTTAAAACGTTTAGACCAGTGCAGCTACTGAAAAGAAAAAGTGTTTTTCCATTTTTCTTTATACTAGATTAAAACTGGAATTAAATTAATGGTTTTTGAACCATTGAAATTCTTGCTTGAAGATTTATATTGAAGCCATAATTTAACTTGTGCAGCCTGAGCTATACATGTTTAATTGGAATAAATTCATTGAAATTTATGCCCATAGATGTTTGCATTGGATGTAGCCTCAGACTGAATACATCTTAGGAAGAAGATAATATTTATTGTAGTAACACTTTATTCTGACTGAAGTAACACTTTATTCTGACTGAATTGTATGCCCTGTGTTGTTTAGAAAATAGTTTTTTGGGGAAAGAATTGATGTTTCTATTTTTCTCTTTTAAAACTACCTGCCCAAAGCCCTATAATTGTCTTTATAGTTTTTTTCAAAGATGTACTTGGAGAATTAATTTGTTACTTGTATTATTTATATTTAATATGAATAATAATGATGCATTCACAAAAATGATTAATGTACTTTTTTGTCGAATAGCTTGAAGATGTACAGATTCCATATCCTAGTGCACACTGCTGGTAATTTCTGTCCTTGAGACACTAATATTTTCTTAAGAGAGTTTTATCACATTTCTTGAGCATCTCCATGGTTTTTCATTTGATGTTTCTGAATCCTCCAACCAGCACTTTGGTTTCTGCTCCATAGGATGTCCGGAGCTCAAGATAGCATCAATCCAGAATCTTTGGTTTGGGGAAAGTTCAACTGAGAGAAGTTTGCATTGGCTTTTGACAAATCCTGGTAGCTACAAAAATAGTGGAAGATATTATTCGATGAAAGAAAATATGAGAAAAGGGAACTGCTTGGTTCATGTGATGAGGATAAACCTAGGCAATAGCATGGCATCTCAAGTTTATAGTCATGGAAAATGATGTGCATTTTGTAGAAATTATTTTTCTAGCCATTTTTTTTAGTTGTTGCAGAATGTGAAATATTAATTGGAAACCTGATCTGCTACAGAGCATGTCCTTTACTCATTAATTTCTAGGTCTGTCACTTTGATTTTCTGCTTGCTACCAGGACACAGTGAATTCGTTGGAAAGTGCTTCTGAGGACCAAATTAGTAGATTGGTGTTTATTATCAGTGTTTTCCTTTATCTATTTTTTTTTAAAGATCTTCAAATGGATTTTGTAACTTAGTCTGTAATTTCCTGTTTGAGTGATATTTGAGTGCACTGATTGTTACCTCAGTCATCACAAACTTTGTGATAGTTTGCACTTCTATCCAGACAAAAATATCAAAATGGGATTTTAATCCATCGCTCTCTCTTAAAAAAAACAATACTGTTGTTCATAAATTACAGATGTTAGCAAACACTGATCTACCATGTTTTTACAGATAACTCACAAAGAATTGTTTGTACTTCTTAAGTTGCTAATACCTTGGCACTAAGCATTCTTATTCATGAAAAGAAATGATATGGTTAAGATAGCAAATTCCTTCAATAGTTTTATCAGTGTCTGGACAACAACCAAAGCTGAAGATAGTGAGTAAACATAATATGAAAACTCAGTTAAGATATTTTGTATTTTTGAAGTTACATGCTTTCCATGCTGTTTATTCTGAGCTGATGTTATTCTATGGAAGACCAAGACCCATTGGCCAAAGAAAGATTGGTGTGTATATAGACTTTAATAGCATATAAATGGTGAGCTAATCCTATTCAAAAGTTTTAGTTGTGAATGAGCATAAAGTCTGAAATCAAACACTGTCTAATTTACAATTGTTGGATGTTATAGTGGACAATTAGAATGAACCTGATGTTTTACCATATATGTAATAATTACTTTAGGGTAGGGGGTTTTTTTGCATTATGTCATGAGAATTATGTATTCATCCAGGTGCTAGGCTGTTTTGCTTCTAAATATGTGTGAAATCATATTTCTTCCATGATGATTGCTAATATCATAATAGGTAATCTTGGAGATATTTGATTTTTTAATTTTTTTATAAAAAGCACCGGAGGAAACTTCTTCCAACTTTTGTTAAATAATTCCTTTATCTGCTTAAATTATTTAATTGGAATTAAAACTATTAAAGCTGTGGTATTTACTATGCTTTTTACTTGAAATTAAACCCAGCTAATGTCAGTGGGGCATAAATGTGGTTTGGAATGGCTAATATGATACTCTATAAATATTTTTATAACCTTCTGTGACACAGTCATTCAGTACAGTTAGAATAACTGTCTTGGAAATGCATTAGGTCAATAAATGGGTAAACATTTATTCTAATGATATTAACATCTTCTGATAAACGCTCCAATCTATCAATTATATAAACAAATGTACCAGAGTATTTTACTATTATATTAACCTATAACGAATTGATTGTTTGATTATGTGCTATCAAGTTGGTGTCAATTCTAAGTGACTAGGTTTCCTCTTTGATGATCTGTCCCTAACCTTTGTTTTTCAACAGATATAGTTTGAAATTTTCAGACGGATGGAAAATAATCAATTATACTTGTTTAATTTCTCATTATCATGCAGCTGTTAAAGTCATTGAGCGCACATCAGAAAAAAAATAGAGTCTTATTCTAATCTGGATTTATTGCAAATCTTGTATTTTAAAAAAAGGGATTAAGTAGGAAAATATGATTGAGCTTTGGAACAATAAGAAGTGGTGATGTCAGTGTGACTAATTCAGCCTTTCTACCACTTTGTGGCTTGCAGGTGTGTTCTGTTCTGCTTCAACACTTGGCCCTTTCTGGTTGTACATAATGACCTTAGCAATGTAAAATTTCTGGGGTGCCTCCAGTGGGGGAGACTGCACTAACTTAAAAGGGTTATTTTGAAATGATTTAAATTCTGCTTCTAATAGCTGTTATATTTTTCCTGTTGTATCCTGAATATGTAGTTTAACTTTATTCAAGTGCAGTGATTGTTTAGGTTTTCTTACATAGTGGTAAACTGCATTTCAAGCATGGTTTTTGTAAAATAAAGGGAAAGCCTTTGAGGAGTACTTCTAATGTGAAAAGCAGTATTTAAAGGCTTAACTCAGGAGTTAACTGACAAGATTGATTTATGTTTCACATAATGACCCCGACTTCTGGCTCATTGACTCGGCTTTCCAAAAGTGATTTAGAAC